AAGTGTCTCCTCAGGGCTCCGGTTGCAGGGAGGAGCCCTGACTGGCCACATGTGGCTGCGCCAAATGCCGCGGCAGCAAGGGAGAAGGGAAAGCAACGGTGGCCCGAACCCGAAGGTCTCCCGAATATCCAAGCTGTCGCCGCCCGCCCACCCACTCGAGGATGCAAGGGGGGAGAATTAAGTCACCCCCCGAAAAGACGTCCTAGCCGTTTTTTCAGGGGTCAAAAAAAAATAAGGCCCGGCCTTATTATGTGAGAAACACGGTAATCCTCCACCCACTTTTTGAGTATCCTGGGCCTGCATGACAATGGAGGTTGTCCATTGACTAGTCCATAAGTGGAAGTACAGCTTTGCTTCTTCTGATCATTGAGTTCCATGACAGCATTGCACTTAGACTTATATACTGCTTCCTAGTGCTTTACAACCCTCTCTAAGCGGTTTACAGAGTCAGCATACTTCCCCCAACAATCTGGGCCCTCATACTACCAACCTTGGAAGGCTGAGTCACCTTTGAGCTGGTCAGGATTGAACTCCTGGCTGTGGGCAGAGTTTGTCTACAATACTGCATTCTAACCGCTGTACCACCACAGCTCTAATAAACCAGCCACGATGGCACACCTGGTTGGTCTATTATTGCCTGCCTGGAAACCTTCTCCACACTGCCTTTGCACACTGGCAAAGATGTACTTTCCTGAGCAGACATGATTGTGACTTGCTGGCAATAGTCTGTGTAAATGAGCAAAGACAGCAGAAACATCTTGATCCATTGGAATACAATGCCTCAGAGACAGGCCAGCCATAGGCTTGCCACACAACTATTCTTAAAAAAAAACAGAATATGTGGGCCAATGCCCATAAATGTTAGTCTTGTCCTATCTCATTCATTATCAAATGGCATCTGACTCATTTATGCAGATTTTAAAAATAAAGTTTGAGTGCTCAGGCCTAAGTCCCTATTTAAAGTGCTGTGAGCTGAGCTGAGCTCCTTAGTTGTTTGTTGGAAGGGGAATAACAGTCCATTAAGACGAGAGACAGCAAAGCTTAGGGAAGAAAGTGGACTAAGCCCAAAGGGATGTTAGCTTTACACTCCTTGACAGACAAGCAGTTGAGAGAGCTGGCAGATCAATGTCAGACTGACACAACTAGAGGGCAACATGCTCACCCAGCATTCTCCATATATGGAAATGAAGTTGCAACATCAG